CGTGCTTGCAGAGCCGCAACAGCCGGAAACGAAAAGGGGGGGGGGCGAAGGCGAAGGCGTGGAATGGGATCATTGCCGCAGTGCATCCTCCTTATTGGATCACTGCAGATACTTTTTTTTAGGCTTCTTAAGCTTCTTTAGCTCTTTTTCCTCTTTTTTATTTTTATATTCCCACCTTTTTTTTCTTCTTCTTCTTTATTTCCTTCTCTTGCATGGATGTAATGTAACGTGGTGAAATGTGTATGTACGGCTCTGGGTTTCCCTCCGCCGCTTGTGCGTGTGCCTGAGTGAGTGTGGTTGTTCGTTTTTGACATACCTCCGCCAGTCACGTCAGGGGTGCAGTCGCGTCGTGGAAGTGGCGGCGCTGGGGCAATGCCGCTTGCGTTGTTTACCTCCTCTTGCTGAAGCACTAACTCACGCACACTATTGTTATTGTTGTTATTATTATTTTTTTTTCTTTGCGTGTCTGTGGCTGTGTGCGTGTCTGTGTGTGAGTGTGTGGTCTTATTTTGCCGCCTGCGCCGCCGGCCCCCTCCCGCCGGGAAGAGCGGGCAACCGCCCGCTTCCCGTCGTCTCCGCCTCTGCCCCTCTTTGGGCGTTGGCGCCGCCGTGGTGCCCGCACTTCCCCTGCTTTTTTTTTTTTTTTGCCCCACGCAACCGCCGTCAGTGTTACTCGTCGCGGCGGCCCCGAAGGAAGGAGGCGAGGCGGGGCGGGTGCGATGTCGCGGCGCTGCTTCATGGTCTACCCGCTCCCCGCCGTGGCCGACGAGTCGTTTCTGAGCGTCGTCTTCGACGGCGGCGTGCGCCGCAGCGTCTTCGCGGGGTTTGGCCCGCGCCGCTTCGCGCTGGTGGAGTTGCAGGACGACGCCCGCGCGGAGGCGGTGGCGTGTGCCCTGCGACCCGCGCCCCCGCCCCACACGAGCAGCGGCGCGACTGCCGACGCGGCGGAGGACTGCACGCTGGGGGAGTTGTTTCGCGCCCACATCGAAGAAGCGGGGGGCGGGGCGCCGGAAGCCGGCGCCACGCCGAGCTGCATTGCACACCTCGCCCGGCTGCGGTTTCGCGGCACCCCGATTTGCGTGCTGCCGAGTCCCATCGCGCTCGAGGAGCTCTACAGCTGCGGCGGAAAGCTGCCGCGGCACCGCCCAATGAAGAGGACAGACACCGACGGGCCGCAGGAGAGCGCGGGTGGAAGGCAGTTGCCGCAGAAGCAACAGCGCACTCCTGCGGAGGGGCGTGCTGCTCCTTCCGGCGAGCACGCGGCGGAGTCGGAGCCACGCAGCACGCCGCCGCGGAAGCGCGCCGCCCGACACGTCTTCCCCGCCGACTGCTGCCAGAAGTGCGGGTCCACGGATCACTTCACGCGGCACTGCGACGCCGCCGTCCACACCATTGCGGAGGAACCGGCGAGCCCGCAGGCCCGCCCGGGATGCGAGCGCAATAACGAATGTGTGGCTCCGGCGCATGCTGGTGCCCCCCACACGGAGCAGGACACGACGCGGCGGCAGCAGCGACCCACCGTGCTGCGCAGCTCAACGGATCAGTGCAAGTACTGCGGCTCGGGTGCCCACCTCTCTCGGCATTGCCCCTCAAAGTGAGTGGCTCCCGCTGAGGGGGAGGGAGGCCAGGCGTATGTGTGTGTGTGCGTTGTTAAACGACGGGTAAGTCGGCAGCAACAAGCCGGGGAACGAAGAAAAGAGCGACAGCAACAACAAAAAACAAAACAAAACAAACAGCAGCAACATCCGCGTGAAGAGGTACGGACAACGCCCCAAAAAAGGAAGCGGAGTGATTCGCACACAGGCGCCCCATATAATTAAGAAGCAATAATGAGCCGCTGTGGCGAGGCCTGACCTTTGCCAATGCGGATTCTTGAGTGGCCTTAGGAGCCGCCGCATTTTGTGCGTGTGCACGGGTGCCATAGACGGACCCATTATTATTATTATTGTTGTTGTTGTTATTCCTTTTATCTTTTGTTCTCACGAGGGGCCGGTCCGGGGGAAGAAGCAAACGAGGCGGCGGCTGTATGCGCTTCTGTTTTTCTCTGGCAGATGGCGGGTTCTGAAGATGTGTGTTCGTTCATTATAGAGGCACTGCAGCGTCTTGTGCAGCCGCTGGTGTTTGTACGTTCCGAGTATGCGGTTGCCGCGGTGCCGTGCGGGGAGCTGGGGACGCGCGTGGGCGAGAACGAGGAGACACACGCTACGACGCCAGGCTCGGCGGACGCCGCAGCATCGCTGCTTCCCGCAGCGACATCCGAGGAGGAGGCCGCGGTGCGGGCCATGGCACGGCGTCTCTTCGATCACGCCCTGCGACGGTGGGCGGTGGACACCGAGGAGGCGATGCTGAACGGACTCGGGAGTCAGCGCCGTCGGACCCAAGCGGCCCGCTTCCTTATCACCTCCACGGCGTCGATGGGCTCCACGGTACCCCTCGTTACTGCGGTTGTGTACTCTTTTTTGCGTCATCATCGCCACCTGAAACACAGTGCGGAGTCTATCACAGGATATCTGCAAGATGCGTTAGAACTTCTGCTTCTGTGGTCGCATCCTGCCATGGGCGTCGCTGTCTCCGCAAGTGTGGTGGGGCCTCAGCCGGAGGTCACCACCGATGTGCAGTACGGCTCTCCACTGCTCCCCCGGCCGTGGACGAAAAATGAGGTGCTTCTCGCAGTGGCGTGCGCGCCTGAGTGGAGTTTGCGTGAGCTGTGTGGAAGCCGCCGCCTCGCTTCGTGGATCCATCGATACATCACAAGCACCAAACTTGTCCCCGCCGTTGTGGCCACGCGTCTGGCGCGGTGGAGTTGGCTGGAACGCCGGCTGCGGCGTTTGATGACCCCGGCGGACGTGGCGGTGCTGGCCCGAACGTTGTGTGCGCTGCTTCTTGCGCTTGAGCTTGAGCTGGTGGCGGGTACAAGTAGCAGGGGCCCGCTGCCGCGTGACGTGGAGCGCGATAGCGAAGGCCTGACGTTGCTGCTGGGGATCCTCAACGAGCGGGGCGCGGCCACCACGAGGAGCGGGACGCGAGGAAAGGAAAAGAAGGAGCATTGCACAAGCAGTTGTGAAGGTCGGCTGCACGGCTTCGATGAGCGTCTCTCGACTGTGGCGGCAGAGACGTCTATGGAGGCTTTTCTCAGCGAGCAGCCGACGTGCGTGGACTTCGTTGCGGCCACCGACGCCGCCTTTCGCGGTGGTGCGAGAGGCCCAGCGGTGGCTGTGCGGCGTTTGTGCGGCGTTGCCGATGAGTTGTACCGATTTCTTTCCGAGTGGATGCGTCTCACGGTCAACGCGAGACTCGACGCACTCACCGCGCAACTTCCACGCATTGGCGGCGGTGGCGCGCCGCAGCCGTTGCCGAGGCTCACAATAGTGGTGGGCCACGTGCAGGAGGCCCAAGACGACGCGTCACATGCCCTACCCTTGTCGATGGTGCCGGTGCACCTCTTCGGTGATTTGGTGCTCGATGCGCAGCTGCGCGGGGTCAGGTGTCGTGACGGCGGTGACGCCGCCTGTGGCGTGGGGCCGTTGAACTGTGAGGCGGCGAAGAGCCTGCGTGGGGCTCATGTGAACGGTGGCAGTCATGTGCACGAGGGGGCGCGTGCACTCGCGCGTATCCCGCTTTGGCTGGGCGCGGACGACGCACAAGACGACGTTGTGGGCGATGGAGGGAGGGCGGGGGCGCAGATGTCTTCGTGGCTGGCTGGCCTTGTCGTCGCCGGCGCCGTGCGCTGCTTTGACGCGTCCCCCGCCCACTGGCAGCGGCGCGCGCTCGCGTGGATGAGGGACGTGGTCGCCGCCACGAATGTGCGGCAAAGGCAATGGAACCCCTTCTTGCGTCTCCGCCTGGGCGGCGTGCGGGAGACGCCTTTGCTGCTGTTGCGGCACGCCTTCAGCGAGGTGCGCTACGCGTTAGCGCCGTGGACCATGTTCCCATCCTTGCCGGGCGACGTGGGCGCAGGGCGTGCGGTGCGGGGCCGCCTCCCACGAGAGTTTCTCGACCCCGGGCTGCAGCCGCAGAAGGGCCTGATGCACGGCCACGCACACTGGACCGTGCCGGAGCTGGATTACATCGAAGAACTGCGGCAGGGGTACCAGCGGGTTTTTGCCCGCGCCTCGGTTGCGTTGGCCGCGGGAGCCGAGGACATAAGTCTGGGGCTGCACGTCGTTCCTGCCCCGTTGCACCTTCAGCAGCGGCTGACGGCTGAGGGACGTGCGAGGATTGCGGGGGCGGTAACTGCGTCGTTGGCAGCACGGCTGCTTCCACGCCCCTCACAAGAGGAACAGCCCCGCGCCGCCCTTTTCTCCCCGGATTGCTCTGCGCGCTACTGTGCTTTCCCTCCAGACTCTGCCGCCCATCGTCGTCTGGCGGCCCGAGGCGGCTTGCCTGACGCTGCGTCCGTCAAGGGGAGTCTCTGCGCGGCCGCAGAACTGCCTCCCGCCAGTTTCCGCCTGCGGGAGAGCGAGACCGAGTTGACGGCGGGGGGTGCGGAGTACTTGGCGCGGCTGTCGCTGTCCCCGCCGCCACAGCCGTCGCCCGCCGGGAGTGGCGAGGGCCGTGGCACCGTGCAGGATGAGGCTCCCGTGGGCCCTCGCGGGGCGACTGCGGGTGGTGGTGGTTGCGCCTGCTGCGATGCCGCTCCCCTCGCGTTGGAGGAGTGGAACCGCATGATTGAAGACATGCTGCTGCCGACGGCCGCCGCTGGCAGCTGAGGGGAAGCGGCGCTCGGGTGCTGGGGGTTAACTGTCGCCTTCGCCCCAGCCCCTCGGCACCACTGGCCGCCTGCCTCCCCGGCGTGTTCCTCGAAGCGCAGTAGTTTACTTATTTTATTTTACTTTCGGCGACCATCCGCCGTAGAAGGCGCGGTTTTGCAAAAAAAACGGGCGGGAGAGAAGGAGAGAGACACAAATAAACACAAGGGAAGACACGACCGATTCCATTCCATTTTTTCCT